TCATTTTGAAAGACATTCCTCTTCCTATCCCCAACATTATTAGCATGTTACAGTGGCTTAAATTAAAAAAGAAACATTTTATCACTCTCTGATATCAGCTCACTGCAATATAACATTTTTGAAACAGGAAAATATCACAGCTTGGCATCATAAATTCAGTGCTGCAACAAGATAAATCCTTCCTATTAATATAAACCGCTGTATTTTCACTATATCTCTTTATCTGCAATGCAATTCTATTTGCTGATCAGACCATCATAAACACACATAATTCTCATTGAATAATGGAAGCAGCAAAGAAAACCAAGCGTAACTGTGCTCTCTAGGCTAAAGCAGCCACAGCCTGGTCCTTCAAACAGATTCACTCACTCAGGGATGCTTCTGCTCACCAATGACAATATAAAATACCACAGCCTCCGTAACCAGAGTCTGGATGACACAGCAAATGACATCAAAGTACAGTCACTCCTTAATTACACATGCACAGAATGTACGCTGGAAGCTTTAATAACTCTCGGTCTATACAAATCCCAGATGCACCAGTGTAAGACTAGGGACCCTATCAACAAATTGTTTCCAAATTTTTTAATTGAGCATCTGAAATGACTCAGGAAAAAGGAAACTTGTTTAATTTCGTTGAGGAGAAAAATCACTACCCATCCAGTGCTGCCTATGACGACTGAGTTTCCTCCTCCTCAGAAATTTATACCAGGTGTGAATTTGGCACACAGCTTGGGAAACGCAAACACTTCGATGAAAAACCTGCATTATGCAGATGGAAACCTGAGATCTGCCCAAAGAACTTGTGTCAGCTGGTTTGCTCATGGCTGGGCACTACTCAAATGATTCTGGTTGAGGCAGCAGTTTCTTGCTGACTAGACAAATGCAACATTTTAAGAGCTAAAACATCAGTATCCTGCTTTCTCCTATTACATGGTTAGTCACTCCCAGAATCAAAGTCAGGCTGGTGCCAGCTATACTGCATCCTTCAGCTCATTAGGATGTGATGCACAGCCAGGTGCTGAGAGTGGCAGGCTGGAGAACAGCAAGGAGCAGGAGCTCTGCGCTGAGGGCTGGGGACTAAGGCCCTTAACCAGAATATTGCTGTCCTGTAACAGTGAGGCTGGAAGTGGTGCCACTTAATCCTTTATCCTCATGGCACTTGACTTGTTATTTTAAAGGAAGGAGGGGGAAAGTTCGTGCTGTTGCTGCACAGAGGGAAATATCCTCCAAGGAGAAAGGCCTGACCCCACCAGAGTTTTTATTCCATAGATGTTCCCTGTTAAGTATAACTGAAATTGAAACACAACAGAAGGGCAATAAAAACAATGGGTCACCTTCGGAGTCACACAGATACCTGATACTACTTTCCTTCATTTAAGCTTTACTCTGGCATAGTTCTACTGACTCTGAGGAAATCAGTCTTTCACCTCTCAGTCTTTCCAAAATAATCACTGGGGAAAAAAAGAAGAAAAAAAAAAAAAAGAGAGGGAAAAAAAAAAAAGAAAAACTGGTGAAATCTACCATCCTTTGTTCCTCCATATAAGACTCTTTAGAATAGCAAAGGACCTGACTTCAGTGACACAACCCAATAGAAATCCCCGTAGCTTGCAAGTATTCCGGATGCTTTGCCGCTGCAAAGCAGCTCACGTTGCACTGCCTAACCTCAGGTGAAAGTGTGCTGTGATCTTCTGATCTACAGGGTTGGCACTGGCTTCAAAACAACTGCTTGCATAGTGGTTATCAAATTTTTAAAAGGGAAAAAGAGATACTGAGAGAGTTATCCTGAGCAGACTTTGAGAGGGGGCAAGAAGTCCCAGGGCCATAAACTATAAGACTGAGACAAGGAAAATCCAATATATTGGATACATACATATTTTTGTTCTGAAAACTCTTCCAAGAACTGAGACAAAGCAATATCCTCGACACTTTTCTCAGAGCACTGGAATGAAGCTTAGCACACAAAGGCGTCTTTGCTGCTCCTTATTCACATTGTTAGCGAGTTAAAGATTTGTCTTAGAGTGTTATTAAATATTGATGTTCCAAACAAAACAATTACTTGCACTCACAAATTCGAGTTTAGCTCTAGATTAAGGAATTGATGTTTCATTGGTCAGAGCCATGCAGTATTGGAAGGGCATATTAATTTCAAGATTTCACAAGAAGCCCTATTCTAGATGAACCTGAGTATTTTAGTGTTTACCTCTTCAAGACACTTTTCTTTCTACCACTTCAGCAGTGCTGGTCAAATTCTTTCCATTCAAAGCCCAGTCCTTAATTGGTCATCTTGCTTGAGCAAGGGCAGCAGGTGTTGGCTTCAGATTGATTAAAGGTCAGCATGGGGAGATCAAGAGCTGCTCTGCACAAGTACTTCCAACTGGTTGTTAATTATGTAAGCCAGACCCATCATATCTGGGAGGCAATATCAGGGAATGCTTCCTTGTTAAGACGTACGACCCAGAGAATGCTGGGCTTAATCTTGTTCTTAGGAACAGATATAAATCTCAGTTTCCATGGAACTTCAGTCATATCCCAGAATTACCAGAACTGGGACAGCCTTCTGTATCAGTTGGGTGAAAGTTCTATGGAATACATGGGCACGGACCAGACCATTTCTGCACCCTGGTGAGACAGAAAAACTGTTCAGAGTTGGTCTGAAATCTGTCACTAAGCCTCTTATGTCATTTTGTGTGTGTTTTTCTTGTACAATTAGGAGCTTTTAGCTGCCAGGGTACCTTTGCCTTGCACCAGTGCTGAAGAAAAATAATAGTAAACATAGGTGTGAAAGTAGGAGAAAGAAAAGAATTCAGCTACAGCATCATCTAAACATGAGATAGTAAGTAATAGCATTTTTAAAAAAATCTATTTCACAGAGATGAAAATCATTACAGTTCTCTGGAGACCCTTTCTCTCGGCAGTAGCCCATGTTATTTCCTAGCTGGTAAAAATGTGCCACAGGATACCAAAGGACGCTAACATTCTTCTCATTTTAATGCTCCCCTAATCCAATGATGGCTTGTTTACTGCTTTCTAATTTAAAGGTAATTCATTAGATGTATCCTGTCACGTTTTATTGGCATCAAAGGTGTAAGAATCACATGTACCTCTGAGGCACATCTGCTCTATTGCTAATATTCTGCACGGTTCCCTCAATACAAATGGCTATCAATGCAAAGGCACAGGTAAGAGAGTTTGTGCGTGTGTGTACACATAACTACAGACAATATATATATATATATAAAAACTATATATATATATATATATATATATATATATATAAAAACTATATATATATATATATATATATATAAAAACTTCAGGGATGAACTCTGGACCAAAATTTTATGTTTGAGAGTAAGAACTCTAGAAGAAAATAGTTAAACTGATACACATGATTTGTGTGCAAATATCTGTGATACTGACACATGCCTCACACACCTGCAGGGAACTTGAACAAATCTGCTGCAGACTGATGAAGGTTACAGAAGCAGAAATGCCCATTCCAGGGGACAGGCTGTGCTTGGTAACACGTGCTGTGATTCTGCAAAAAGCTACCCTAGAAAACTGAGTTTAAGCCACCCAAGAGCAACATAGCAGGATCAGAGGCTGAGAGCTTCAGCCCTGCTGGACATCAGCAGCACAGAGACATCCAGGTCCTGGGGTGAAGGCAAAAGCACAGCAGGACCCACCAGCATGGCATGGGGATGCAGGCCATCCTGCCCCTCAAGCTCCAGCAGCACCTACTGGCTGCGTGGTTTCCCTGCTCACCTCTGGCACTGGGTCTGTGCCCACCTCCACGCAAGCAGCTCTGCTCCAAGTGATGAGGTGCCGTTTGTACAGGTGCAGCCTCTGCATGCTCTCACACATTGCCCATGCTGCCTTCCAGCCACAGAGCCTGAGAACTCTCTGGCTGTTTGTATTCTGCCAACAAGCAGCACAGCCACATTGTATCTATCAACATCAGGTAACTAATATGTCCAACTCTTCCCAAATCTTTGATCCATCAGACTAACCATACACACGTGTCTGTTTAATGAACCGTGCCTATCTGAGAGGGCAAAAGACAGAGCAGAACAATGAAAACATGCTAGGAAGCCACCCTGTACATCCAAACTTGTGTTATACCATCAGAGCAGGGATCACCATCAGTTTGGAAGGCAGCTTGGGTCACTACGTGACCAAAACCATCCCCTCATTGGCTGTCGGTGATGTCATGCCCATGCATTAATCCCCAGTGACTGCAGGTTTAACATCACACATATCAACGCGTCATCTACATAACGATGACAAACTCGACTTTGAGAGGAAATTACCGGCTCAGAGAACAAAGCAACTTGTTGAAACAAGGAAAGTGGCATCCCTTAAATCATCTCTTTCAGCTTTTTCATTTTGTCAAACCGAAGTTGGTGGGCACAGGAAATAACACATGCCTCTCTGAAAGGAGTGGGTATTATTAGGGCTCTATTTTAAAGAAAGTAAATCTTCAAGCCCTCCCGCTTGTGAACATAAAAGTACAGTGGTAAGAAACAACCAGATCTAGGAAATGAAAGTATTTCAGAAGCTATAAAACTGATAGTGAAATTAAAAACATTTCTAAAAAGGGAGAAAGAACACAACCCAAAAGTAAGAGTGATACCTGCAAAGCAAGCTGTCCGACTGCTAGCGCCATCCGAGTCACTGGAATCACCGGGCTAACTATGGCAGTAAACGAATTTCACACACAGCAATACGTCTGTATATTTCAATATAATAGGAATACTTATAGCGTGATTCCCACAGCCGCACTCCCGCTGCCAGAGCGCGCCCAGCCCGCAGCGCCTTTCTAACGCGTCAATATCCCATCCCAGCCCCTCCAAAAACCGGGGGGCTGCCGGGCACGGAGCCTGCGGACCGGGGCAGCCCGATCCCAACAAGTCTCTGCGGGTGTAGCCGAGCTCTCAGGCGCTCCCCCGTTGCCTCCGTGCGGGACGCGCTGTGCCGGCGCTCCCACCGTCGCCTACCTGGCTCCGTGCCTCTGGATGGCAGCTGGCAGCGCGCCGCCCTTCAGCTGCCGGCAGGATGATGCTCCGCACCGGCTCGGCGGTGGCTCTGAGTGCCTTCGGAGCTCCCCTCCTGCTCCTCCTCTTCAGAAGCGGGCGGGGAGGAAGCACGGTATCACGGCCCTCGTTTCTCTGCCTCCCTCCCTCCACCTTCTCCCCCGGTGCCGGGGTTCCCCCCGCCCTCCAGTCGGCTCTTACCGTGCTTCTCCGCACCGAGCGGCCGGCGTGCTGTCGGGAAGATTGCGCTGCTCGGAGATGGAGCTGCCCTCCCAGCTGGGCTCGGGTGTGGAGCTGCAGAGCAGCCCGGACCTCAGCTGAGCCCCGCCGCGGTCCGGCAGAGAGAGGAGGAGGAGGAGGAGGAAGGAGACGTTTCCTCAGCCCGCAGCCCGGCCAGAGTTCGCAGCATCTTCCGGAGAAAGCCGCAACTTGAGAAGGGAGAAAGGGGTCAGGGCCACCACCTCCCCCTCCTCTTATCACGGATCTGGTCACTGCGGCTCCGGACACCACAGTTCTGCGTGTTATCAATAAATCATCAAGCTCGGGAATTCAGTTCAAATGGAAAAAAAGTGAAAGAGCGACTGCGAAGCCAGGGTCAGTGCTTTCCAGCACACTGGAAAACGGGGTCTGCCTCCTGCTCTGCCACTGACTTTCTGCGCAGCCTTCACCAACTCACTTTGCAGCCTCCGTTCCTCCTGCAGCCCCGCTGCGTGCTTCGCCAGCGATATCCGAATACGCGCTTCAGCGGGAGGCAGGTGCTTAAATACGAGGGAGGGCACCGTCTCGCAATAAGTGGTTGTAGAGCTTAATGCGATGGCAGGGAACGCAGCCAGGATCAGACTAAGTGCTGCTGTAATGCAAATCATCATCTAGAACAAACATTCTTTAAATAGGAAGAACCACTGAAGATATGCTTTGTGGAGCAGGGCAGGCTACTTTGAGTATAAGAAATCACTCAACTGCTATAGATTTGGAATTGCATTATTTGCCTTCCAAGTTGGCCACTTGCAACTTTTTCAAGCATGCTTTTGAAAACCAGTGAAAATGTCTGTAGCTTTTACACCACAGCTCATTATGAATTAATAAGCCAGCAGCAGATTCTCATACCTTGGATAAATTTATTCAGCCTGAAACAAAGGGTCCAAAAAACTCATCTTAGCTCTCCTTCATTCCACGTTAGCACAACTCATCTTAGCTCTCCTAGTCAGCAGGACTTACAAATGAGCCAAAATAGGAAGGAATGAGCCCATGGCATCAGGTCAGTTCTCTCAGTCCTTCCCCATGGAGCTACCACCCCTTTGCCTACTGCTCCTGACACAGTTACTCCCTTCCAGTCTTTACCCCAGACCCCTCAAAAAGCATCAAAAAGGAGGCAGAAATGGTGGAGCAGGGAAGGAAGTCCAAGCTTGCACAAAGGGTTGTGAGAAGTAAGTCGGAAGAGGGAGGGTGGGGCCGGGGGGGGGGGGGGAAGAGAACTGAAGGTACTGGCAGCAGAAGGAAAGATTTAGGGGATGGAGACACAAATCAGAAGAAAAAGATCAGGTCTTTCTCTCTGGGGAATAATTTGTTGAAAAGAGTCTGGCCAGGACATCAGGTGGGGATTACATGGGATCGACACCCCCAGCGTGTGTGGATAGAACAGGCTGCTGGCCACAGGTGCTTTTATAACTGAGCTGCTGGAGACAGGATCTCACTGCTCCCCTGCCCTGCTGCCCCCTGCACTCAGCTCTCCTCCCCATCTGCCTCGGGCTGGTCGTGGACTCAGTTATCCCATCCAGACAATGGAGACGGCCACATTTCTTGCACAGGGCTGCTGTCAAAATGAATTAAGTGATGTCCAAAGAGTACTTTGAAATGCAGATATTATGCTCGCCAGTTTTAATGCCTCCAAAGCGGTCTCCAGATATCTCTAAATCCTCGAGATATCCCTGATCAATTCCTGTTTTACAGATGAGGACGTTGAGCAGAGGGACGAGCGCTTTAGTCCATCTCTTTTATGTCGGGCTCTACGGGTCCCCCTGACCTTGCCATGGCTCAGGCTCCCAGCTCCAGCCCATAATGAGCGAGCCATCTTTTGCTGATGATATAGAACAAGCATCACACACTCAGCGCATCCCCACTGGATTTCTACCCCACTGCCTTTCTCCCCGTATTTTCCTTTGTAGGTGCAGGACACAGGAGCTCCCAGTCCCCAGGCCTGTGATCAAATTATCTCTCCCTCTGTCACACATCCTAATCATCGCAGCTGGCGGTCATGCCAACAATATCAACGCTGCTGAGTAGCTTTCAGTTTTGCAATTAGCAAGGTTTTCTGCTTCCTGCAAATATAAAATAGGCTTGTACTGCTTAACGCTGCATAAATGATACAGATGCATCTAGGCCCATGGTACTGTCTCGTTGAGATGAACCGACGTTATAAGTGCTGTAGATATTTTAAATCTTTTGAAGATTACAATAGTTACAAAGCTCATTATTTCTAAATGTGTTTATCTTTCCTCTCCTTTTTGTTTGCAAAATTAGGCAATGCGCAGTTTAAATAAACAGCTATTGTACTATTAAACATTGATTAAAGAAAAGAGCTCCATTTAAATTATTAAGTGGTAAGATAAAAAGCATCCTTTCTCTTTCGTATGCTACTTTATTCAGAAGTCAAACTTCTGTAGCCTCACTGAATGCTAATGAACAGCATAATAATGCACAAGGGCAAGAGGGGGCTGAGTAATTAAAAACAGAGGCCAGAAATCAAAGGGCTTGAAATATACTTACCAAAATAATTCAATTATACATTAGAAACTTGGGATAATCAAGGCACGTCCCTCAGTTTCATTCATCATTACGCCCCAATTTAATATCTCCACCAGTTTGCAGCACGCAGGGAGCAGCAACTGGGACTGCCACGTGCTGTGCTCCAACTGAGGAGACAAAGGCAATGCGTGCTCAGGTCCCACTCTCCACATTCTGCACGTTGGAAATGGCTTCACTTGGCTGGGTAGGATCTCAGTTACACTCATTTGTGGGACTATTTTTAGGCACAAGACAATTCTGTATCGGTTGTATATTCCTTTTCTCTCCAGCTTTGCAAGTCATTAATAAAAATCTCCATATCCACCATTTTAGCTTCCCTGTGAGCTCATCTCTTTCCTTGGCTTCACTTCTTATGGCTTCAAGCCTTCCTGGTTATCTACAAAATCCTCTGCCCTGCCATGCAGTCTGTAGGTTTATTCAGTAAACCGTGCATTTAGGCAAGATGGCACATCGAGCCTCTGAGGTTTTCACACAACAAAAACTGGGTCAGAATATCCTGATGTAGTTTCACAACATCACCTCTTTCATGGGTCAAGGAGTCCCTGTGCCGCTTCTGGTCTCCAGGATGGCAAATGGGGACCATGCATTTCAAGGAAGCTCCAGTGCCATGTGATAGAACAGAGTAAAAAGAGCCAGTCTGACCATGCTCAGGGATTTTGGAGTTCAGCCCTGGGTTGGTGTTGTTTTGTGCAGTCTTGATGCGACAAGCAATGATGGAATGTTGTCCCATTGGCTCCAGTGAGAGCGCTTCATGGAGGAGCTCCAAGTGGGGCACTACTGGGAAGCATGGGAAAAACAAAACCAGAAAAACAGAAGAAGTTTTCAGCTGACGAAGGACAGCGCTATTGTTCACCAAGTTTGCAGATGCATGAGTTATCCCTTCCCTTCTGGTATATAATTAAGGCAAAACCAGGCAAAAATGGTTGGAAACAGCCAGTGGCAGGAATTTCAGCAAAACCAACACTCAGTGGTGTAGCAGCTTCCTGAAGAATCAAAGTCTGATTGTCTTATTAGGATTTTTAAAGATTTAAGAACAGAGACTGCTAGTTGTCTCTAATGAGTGCAGAAGTCAAACCCAGTACTGCTGTGCTTCACAAGGCACCGGGAGCCTGTAGGCCAGCGTAGGTCAGAGAATTAGATGATGGAAAAGAGAAAGCAGAATCTCAGGTCAAGCTTTCCAAAACTAGAGGTCTTAATTAAAATGAAGGTTATGACTTTAGCAGATGGGTGCCATTTAGCAAAGTTACAGCTATTACTCAGATTTGCTGCATCTTCAATTTAGAACAAAACAAAACACTGCATGGGGAGAAGTGAGAGGGATTTGGCCGCTTGGTGACAGCAGCAAATGTGGCTGCCTTCAGCTTTCTTCAGTCCTACCAGCTTTGTTTTCCTCAATCAGAAGTAAAGTTCCTTTTAAGGTGTGTCAGCTTCCCAAAAAGATGTCCATGCAGCTGATAGAAATGAGATCATTAAGACCAACCAAGCTCGTAATGTGAGCCTGAACAGTGTTTGCCAAAGGGGAAGAGGAAAATCTACAAATTAAGATAGGCACAGTTGCAACATACAGCAGAGCAGAGAGCAGAAGTACCTATTTTTCCCCTATTTTTCTAATGAGGATTTCATTTTCAGAAAAGAAAACACCAACGTATGCTTTGCATGATTTTGCATGGGGATGGCCTGGAGGAGGGGACCACGTCCATGGGCAGAGCCTGAGCTACGCTGGAGTCCAACTGCTCAGTATTCAGTTCCCAAGTTCGGCAGTGAAATACTCTAATAGATATCTTAGTGACATCTTTTTCTTGAGAAACAGTCTGGGGCAGTAATTCTAACAGGACAAGTCAGCTGTAATGAATCTCTTTCCTCGGCGCAGATGGGGCCTCGCTTTACTTGCATGCATAGCTCCTTCCACTTCCTAAGACTGCACGGAGACAAGAGCAAGGAGCTCTGGCCTCTTATGTTTACCTGCCTTAAACAATACAGTGGCAATCAATAAATGAACTTCATTTCTTTTAAATATGCAATTACATGGAATAGATTATAGAAGTGACAGAAACCAGAGTGACTCCACAAACACAGAGCCAGGCTCTGATTTCTATCAGTACAAGATCAAAGTAGCGTAGTTGCTCATTTACAGCTCAAAGCTGCATTATTTTCCCTAACTCGGGCTCTATTGCCAACTGAATGCTGTAATGCAAAAATATCAAGCCATCTTGATGTTCCTCCCACAGTAAATAATGATTT